GATAGCCAGTACTCTCGCAGTATAATTTTGTTATGTTTATTTTTTATAAATTGGCTGTATCATTGTCACACATTGGATCCACTTGCTTGAAGTAGATAATCTTTGACGCGATTTTTTAACAGTGAGTAGTCGGTACCAATTAGGCGTACAGGTCCACTATGCGTTAAGATAAATAATAAATATTAAAATTAATAATTAATTAACAATAAGACATAATATATTTTTGATAATAAAATGAGTAAAATAAGTGGAGAACTCTGCATCATAGTTACAGAACGCTATCATCTGACACTGACAACACCAAAATGTCTAAATAAATAAGAATTACTTTACGAGATAAGAATACTATATCATATTTGAAGTTGGGAGGTGGCTATAAACATTGTCTTATTAGTTAACGCCATCATGTAAATAGTCCATTTATAGTTCACTTATTATATGTTAATTTTTATGATGCTCAAACGAAACCAGTTTAATCACAGATATATCAGTTAATCATTACAAACAACAGAGTATATATTCATAGTTCAACAAAAAAATACAGAAAAAAAATTCAGTCCATTTTTGGTTAACATAATCTATTTAAACAGACATATGGCCAAATGGGAATCGGTCTTACCAAATTATATGAGTCACTAGAAATACTTTACGACTGAAGGTCAAGGAAAAAAAATTGTGAAATTTAACCTTATAAAGAATATTTCTTGCGTAAAGTACAGAAAAATAGTCCTTTGTGAGCCAAAAAGGTACAATAGCTTATTATGGCGATTGCATGAATCAATAGGTTAAAGGATATGAACCCTGAATTAATCATAAACATTTATTATGGCTCGTATTGTGAGCACGCTACATTTTAAAAAAATAAAAATAATAAAGGACAAAACTTCTGGAGACTGAATTTCTTGTCTCTTTATTCTTATTTTTAAGATGTTTTAAGTTGTTGCCGTGCAGAATGAGCCATAAAAAGTCCTCTGAAACAAAGCATAAATGTTACGAAATATTTGCAAATCTTTGCGTATTTTACATTTCAAGATCGCGTTTGTACATTCAAATGCAGTTCCGCTAAATTATTTGGTCTATATATTGCTAAAAAGGATTATCTTTTCCTCTGGATGTTAAACATGGGTGGGTAGACGTTGCATACACTAATTTTATCTCCCAATTTCGTATCATGAACTTACAACGAATATTTATTTCTTGCAAATGATTTAAATGAGAGTTGTGTCACCTTGGTAACGTATTTTGAAAGCTATTTCTATACTAAACGAGATTGATTTATAGGACCAGATCCTATGTATAATGAGTTAAATAAATCTAGTTGTCTAATAAATTGTTATGTTAAAATGTTGCCTAACCCTATATGTTTCCCAATTGCCCACCGGAACGTGCCAAATTGGAGGTGTGAAAAGCGAGGAGAGCATTGAGCACGGTATCTATAGAAAAATAATATAAAGCAAGAAAAGTTGATTAGATATGGAGAAGGCCTTTTAAAAGTCTTCATGTTTCACGTCCACAGAATTTAATATGCTATCATGAGTTACCGTATTTGATTTCTGAAAGGATAAAATGATTTTTACGATATCCAAGGGGTCCTAAAAAAAAAAATGACACTAGTTTTTGAGAAAAAATTGTGATTTTGGATTACGCTGCTAAGCGATATCTATTAATCTGATTTTTTTGTTTAACTTAAGGCTTTTTTCGATAACATCGTATTGTCATTATGTTAATAGAATAGATATAAGATATTGAATATTATTTACAATTTTATCTCCAGATATATGAAAAACAATCTGAATGCATACACCCCAAGCTAAAAAATTCACCTCCACCACATAATGGTCCTTCCATTATATTTGCGGGTTTGGTCAGTTTAATTAAACTTTTTGGTACACAATCAAGTTCTGTAAGTTTCAAATATTTAAGTTTTGGAAATTTTCCCCGTTATCTCGCTAATGCGTGCTCTCTTATGGGACAGGGCGACTTTCGGCCTTAGTTACTATCGATTCGCATACAAATCGTTTGGCTCTGCACAATCTTGCTTGTCTTCCCGAGACACAATGTGAAGTATTGCTAAACACAGCAACATCTTTCAGGATCCACGGGGCTCGTTGGACTGGGGCGGGGAGAGGTGAAACCTCACTACCCAAAGTTGATAGCTACAACGTGCACAGCACACCGGTATAACTCGTGTGTTAAAATTGTATTTTTATTCAAGTATCTTTCGATTTTATGTAAAGTGAAATATTAATTCCGGTACCCGCTGATAGTTTTCGACCGTTCTGGAAATACACGTACTATTGTGCTGCGGCGATCGTCCGATATATTTCACGCAAAATCACGCGAAAAGTACTCAAATCTTCTCTTTAAATATTTTAGTTGTAAGAATACTCCAAAAAATTCAACTTTGCAAGTTCCAAAAAACCACGTTCTTCAACGAACATGAGATATACTCCTATCTCTTAAACGTTCTCACACTAAAAAAATCAAAACCGATGGAGCCTTTTCTCTTGAATATGGAAAAATGTCCTAAGGCAGCATTATGTACTCCAAAAAATTGGAAATCGGTTTCAAATTCCCAGGGCCGTACCATCAGCCATAGGATTGGGGAATATCAATTTTGGAGAAAATCGGCTGACCCGTAAGGCCGTAGTGTTGTTCACAACTGAGGAGACTGCTGTCACATTCGAGGTTTCGTTGCAAGACCCAAAAAAACACATTCTTGCTACACAAGTGGTTTAAAGGAATTTTTCTTAATTTATCGACTGGATTTATTCACCTTTTTTACCAGGTCCCTGTAATAACAGTTTTCTGCCAAAAATTCGATATTTTTCGTGCAGCATTCATTACTTTCTCTCTACTCCCTAAAAAATATTCTGGGATAATTATTAAAACGAATAAAATCGTATCGCCGAATGAAGTTAGCCTGCGCCATTTTACATAACTTGTAATATGACAATATTTGAAATAACTTTCAAATAAAAAAATATCTGAATATACTATTACAATCGACTCAGTCAGGCA